GATGCCCCCCTAGAAGCCGCAAAGTAGGGTAGATGTACGGCATGAGCCATTTAACAGACATAGCTTCTTGATTGAAAAGAATGTGAGAATGAGATGATGCTCATCGTGACCTACCAGAGCAGAATCAGCTTTGCACAGACCTGCACAGGGTCTATGCCCTACTGCTCTTGCACACTCCCGAAGCGTATTCTTAGTGAAGTTCTGATTTCTCATTTCCTGGTAACCACAGACCAGAGTCTCTAGATAGAAGCCAAGGCAAGAAAAAAATTTCTTGCTGGCACTAACGTACATACAGCATTCTGTTAGGAGAAACACGATCTTTGTGATTTAAGGAGAACTGCAGTTCTAGAAGCAGCCATGAGATCAGGCCAGTGCAGTGTGAGACTGATTAAGTGATTTACATAAATTATCACTGAACCTTGCAGAAACTCACGTGATAGAGCTGCTAATGGTAGCTTTGGTCCAGACAGCAGAGGCTAAGGAAGCGTTTGTGAACAGAAAGAAGTTTGATGCTAGCACTAAGCCCCTCATCAGAAAGAGGCATAAAAGAGCAGGTGGCTTTGCACCTTCGTCTTTCACAAGAGGACAGAAAAAGTTTTTCAGAATCCTAATTCAAGCAACCACACACGCAGTCAGGTAACTCTGCACCTTCCTGTCTACAAATGTTTCTGGAAAGCTACGAGCAAAGAGGAGTCTTTCCTTAACAAAACATGGATTGCTAGCTTTCCCTTCCGTAAGGCATCACGGATGCACAGCACGGGAGTTCTTTTCCTGAAAGTACATGCATCCTACTAATCGGTTTTATTTAGTGATGCATTTCAGTTTAATGGCACGACAAACATGTACTGATAAGAAAAAAATTCCATCAGCCAGGGGAAAAACAGCTGTCAAGTCACCTGGGGAGAGAAAGAAGAGTTTTTTCTCCGTAACACCTTGCATACTGAACTCAGACCAGGGATCAGCGCTACAATGGGTTTACTCTGCTGGAAAACTGTGGTTCTCGATACCCAAATGAAATCATAAATTTCCTTTCCAAGGAGCCTCCAAATGGCTCCCCCACCCTGGAGCTGTCCTCACAAAGCAGCTCAGACAGCAAAAGCTTCAGAAAGGCCCAGTGGAACTTTCACAGAGGAAAGCTGGAAGGCAGAAGGGGTCAGGAGTGTCTCAGAAGAATGAGTCTGGCTGTCATTTTGAATCGCAGAGATCTTTGTAAAACACAAGTATGACCAGACTGTCCTGTTCCTAGTCTGGAGGTGGGTGAGAAAGCCGGTGTTTGGCCAGTCTGCACCGGCAACAGGCAGGCAATTAAAACAACCTTCTTCCCTTCAGCAGGTCTGGACAGTGCCATCTCTTCCTTTTCATTTTCCTGGGTGGATAACTCCAAATGGATTCAACCACATTTAGCAGCTCCAGTTTAAAAGCAGGTAGGTAACTGAAGCGTAATGCCATGCTATCGGTTCCAGCAGAGCATTTTGTTCTCTGTTTCAAGGAACATTTACACTTTTTTCCATAGATATTCCATGGTTCCAGGCAGGACTCTCTCTTGAGGTGTTCAGTGAGTGCCAGGTCCATACTCCAGATAAAACTGTATGCCAGCACCTATCCATTATCGCTCGGTTAGACAGGGGCATGCCCACCCAACCATCTGCATACAATCTCCAGGTGAGGCAGAAGAGACAAGCAGGAAAAAAAAAAAAAAAAAAAAACCCCCCCAAAAAAAAAAAAAGCCTCTCCAGGAATGGTATTAACCACATCCATCCCTCTGGTGGCACAGCACAGAGGTCTTCGAGAGCCCAGGATTCAGCTTCATCATCTTAAACTGTCTTCTACTGCTAGACAGGAACATGGCTTGGAAGAACAAGGACTCCGTGCTCTTGGCTTGGAAGAATCCTGGTGTAATTTAGGGATTAGTCACTGTGGGAAGCAACGGGATGCTGAGCTAACAGGAGAGTCAGCTGCACTCTAAGCTTTACAGCTGCAAGCGTCACTTTTGCTTATTCCACTTTGCCAGCAGAATTGGGAGATAAAGGCTCTTTTCTTTGCTGAACACTCAAGACTGTCTTAAGAGCCACAATATCAGCAGAAAGCAAGGCCCGTGCACTCAGTATTGCAAGATTTGTGACTGCTGTCGTTTAACCCCAGCCGGCAACTAAGCACCACCACAGGCACTCATTCACTCCCGCCCGGCAGGAGTGACTTGAGCAGACAAACGCCATCACTCCCAATGTTCCTCCTCCTTCCCCCAGCTTTGCATACTGAGCGTGACACCATATGGTGTGGGGTACCCCTGGGGTCAGCTGGGGTCAGCTGTCCTGGCTGTGTCCCCTCCCAGCCCCTTGTGCCCCCCAGCCCCTTGCTGGTGGGATGGGGGGAGGCAGAAAAGGCCTTGGCTCTGTGTGAGCCCTCATCCCGGTGTTACCAACCCTGTCTCCAGCACAAATCCAAAACACAGCCCCATCAAACACAGCCCCCTACCAACTACTATGAATAAAATTAGGTCTACCTCAGCCAAATCCAGCACGGCAGCAATACAGTCTGAACGCAGGAACCAGAGTACTTTACCCATCTGCTGCAGTCTCCGTACAAGCAGGGATCTCAGGAAGAGCCATGATCAAAGCAAGTGGATTTCTACAGTGCCAGCTCAGCCTGACCTATCTTGTAATGGTACGGATTCCTCTTTGAATTCCTTCTTGCGTTCCTACAAGGAGCAAGGTTTAAGGCCCAGAGAAGGACATTATTGCCAAAACAAAGCAGTCACCTTAAGCTTATCAGTAGCTGCGATGCACTCAGGTAGAGCAGAGCTAATCGGCCCCATGCCTCACGCCAAAGGGAGGAGCAGCTTACATTTAGGGCACTCACTGCTACTGCTTTCCTTTGCTAAATTCAGGTAAGATACACATGGCTGCAACTCAAAACCTCCACCAAAAAGAAGGGTGAGTGGGGAGAACATCCCCATTTAAAACTGTCAACGTAGCTTGCAAATTCAAGCAGAGACTGCTTTGGCGTGAGCTTGAGTAGCGTATACAGAAGGTCGGTGGCCAAGTCCAGACGCAATCTATAAACCACAGCAAAGAGGAAAGCTGCTGGTGGAGTCCAGCTCTTGCCTCTCTCTGTACAGGCGCATTCTTTCCTAGGGCTTGCAAACTCTGCTTTGCATGGGGCAAGAGCACGTACCTTGGGAAGGGGACAAACTCAAAAGGATTTTCTTGTCGGGAAGGTAACTTTCCTTCTATTCTCGTAGCGTTACAGCTACTAGCATAACGCAGCAATAGTGCTTTTCCACATCGCTGGTCTCCAAGTACAATATAGAAAACCACGTCAGCCCCTCGGCACACTAATGGAGCTAGAAATAGCTCTTCTCTGAACAGCACTGACACTTATTCTGTTGCACTTCTTACAGTAAAGTTTTAACCCATCTATCCTGCTAAGTCACTCCACCTTCAGGGAGAGCACTTAGCACCCAGTGCACCCTCCAAGGCTAACCGCACGCTGGGAAGGTACTACCACCTCCTGGGGCTCTCCAGGCTCAGGGTGCCTAAGCTGCTGCTGCAAATAACGTCCCGTAATGGCTCCCCGGAGCAGTACAGAAAAGGCTGAGGCGCCAGAGCTGATGCCATCCAGCCACCATATAACCCAGCCCCTTGGTGGCTGTTTCCATCTGTACGCACGGTCATTGTCACTCTCCGCAACGTGTGCTTTACTCTGCTGTTCTCCCCTCTCCTGGTTTCGGCTGGGGTAGAGTTGATTTTCTTCATAGAGGCTGGCATAGCACTGTGTTTTGGATTCAGTACCAGAGGAATGTTGATAACACAACGATGGTTTTGGTTGTTGCTGGGTAGTGCTTAGACTGGCCAAGGACTTCTCAGCTCTCAGCTCTGCCAGGGGCACAAGGAGCTGGGAGGGGGCACAGCCAGGACAGCTGACCTCAACTGGCCCAAAGGCTATTCCAGACCATATGATGTCATGCCCAGTACAGAAACTGGGGTAAGAAGAAGGAAGGGGAGGGTGTTGGGAGTGATGGTATCTGTCTTCCCAAGTCACCACTACTCATAATGGAGCCCGGCTGTTCTGGGGATGGCTGAGCACCCGCCTGCCGGCGGGAACCAGGGAATGAATTCCTTGCTTTGCCTGTGCATGCAGCTTTTGCTCTCACTATTAAACTGTCTTTATCTCAACCCACGAGCTTTCTCACTTCTACCCTTCCAATTCTCTCCCCCACCCCACTGTGGGGGGATGTCAGCGAGCGGCTGGGTGGGCCTGCGTTGCCAGCCAGGGTTAAACCACGACAACCCCTCACTGTGCTATTATCGTACCCAGGGTAGAGATGAGAAACCTCGGAGTCCCAGGGCAGCGTGCTAGCCACCGGCCACCACCTTTCTCCTCTCGAAGGGAGAGGTGCCTGCTTTAAGCTGAGTGTGGAGGACTGAGTTCCCGGCTTTGAGCTCCGCTTCGTGCTCCGGAACAGACGGGGCCCCCCAACGCCTGGGCCGACGGGGCCCCATGGTCCCATCCTCCTCTCGAACACCGGCCAGCCGCCACGTGCCCTGGGGACCGGAGGCCATCTCGCAGCAGGCCACGCCGTAACACCACTCAGCTCCGTGAAGGATGCCAGCACGGCCTTGCTGACAGCAGTGTCGCAACACGTTGATCCAGAGGTACCAAACAATGTAAATCTGGGCGCTTTGAGTAATTCGTACAGAAAAATCTGAACAAACCATGAACAGAACAGACACTTTCTTGGAAGAGTGTCATAAGCCAGAGCAGGTAAGATGCAGAGCAATAGCTCTTGAGGTCCTTTCTTGGCCGTAAATAGTTACAGCCCCAGGCAAGCCTGCAGATGCTGTCTGCTCACCCGCACTCCTTTTAGCAGCTGACAGGGCTCCTGGCTGCCCCCCCCTTAAGGTGTCTGATCACACTTTTTACCCCCCCTACACTTTCTGTCTGACCCAAGTAAGAACACAACAGGCGGGGATAGGGTAATGCAGCTGCAGCACTTTTACCTTCAAGCGGTAAAGCAGCTTTGAGATGTCTTGCTGCAGTTTCTTGTTCTCGGAAGCCTTGGGCGAAAGGCAGCCAGCAGCCAGGGAGCAGGACCCCTCCTGAGTCCCTCAGCACTTCCTAGCAAAAAGTAAAAGCTGTGTTACTTAGTGGAACATTTAAGAACACATCAGTTGAAGTTTCTCCTAACAACTATCATGCCCTTCTCTGGACTTCACAGAAACACCGGCCGGTGTATCCGCCTATTGGGCAAAAGCTGTAAATGCCTGCGTCAAGATTTCTCTGTTACAAGGTAATTGCATGGGTTATTTCAAGCAGCGTTCACACCACACTGTCAGCAGAATACAACAGTTTTCTGAAATAATTATGTTTTTACAGAGAGAACGTTAAGCAATTTTGACCCACTCATCTCCGACGAAGGCTCCAGTTCTGTGGAGAGGAACAGAGCAGGCTTCACAGCCAGGCAAAACTTGACTTAGCTGTAGCACAGCTTATTTTTAAGCAGCTTTCGGAATTGAGGTGGGGTTTGAGGGCTGGGGAGGAGATGTTGAGCAGAAGACTTGTTTAAATACTGTATATTTTTGTGAACAGATTTTAACCTAGTTTTTCTTTATTCTGGATATTTATCGTTCTGTTTTAACAGAAAAGGGAGAAGAAAAAAATTGACTAAACCAGCTTGTCCCCTCAAAAACACTACTTCTAAAAAGTTATTTCTTCTCTGTTGTGAGAAGAAACCCATACAACATCTTTATTGCCTTACGTCCCTACAGCATCCAGGCTTGGGCAACACACACACGGACAGCAAATACGCGTGCTTACATGCGTATGTATTTGACTCTTTCCTGCTCATGGTTTTTGATAAATTTACTCAGCTTGGAAAAAGGAGCAGGCACCCCCAAAGCACGAAGCTCCTACAAGGTGGTGAAGCAGGAGGCAAGAACAGGAAAGAACTTCCTAGTACTGCTATGAAGGATAAGGGCATAGGAGAAAGGCACAGCAGCAAGGCTGGCTCAGCTCCTAGAGCTGCCTGCTCCATCAGCCATACCTGCTTTCACACCTGCGTGCTTCAGGCTTTCAAGCAGCGTTCACACCACACTGTCAGCAGAATACAACAGTTTTCTGAAATAATTATGTTTTTACAGAGAGAACGTTAAGCAATTTTGACCCACTCATCTCCGACGAAGGCTCCAGTTCTGTGGAGAGGAACAGAGCAGGCTTCACAGCCAGGCAAAACTTGACTTAGCTGTAGCACAGCTTATTTTTAAGCAGCTTTCGGAATTGAGGTGGGGTTTGAGGGCTGGGGAGGAGATGTTGAGCAGAAGACTTGTTTAAATACTGTATATTTTTGTGAACAGATTTTAACCTAGTTTTTCTTTATTCTGGATATTTATCGTTCTGTTTTAACAGAAAAGGGAGAAGAAAAAAATTGACTAAACCAGCTTGTCCCCTCAAAAACACTACTTCTAAAAAGTTATTTCTTCTCTGTTGTGAGAAGAAACCCATACAACATCTTTATTGCCTTACGTCCCTACAGCATCCAGGCTTGGGCAACACACACACGGACAGCAAATACGCGTGCTTACATGCGTATGTATTTGACTCTTTCCTGCTCATGGTTTTTGATAAATTTACTCAGCTTGGAAAAAGGAGCAGGCACCCCCAAAGCACGAAGCTCCTACAAGGTGGTGAAGCAGGAGGCAAGAACAGGAAAGAACTTCCTAGTACTGCTATGAAGGATAAGGGCATAGGAGAAAGGCACAGCAGCAAGGCTGGCTCAGCTCCTAGAGCTGCCTGCTCCATCAGCCATTTCTGCTTTCATGCCGGCCTGCTTCAGGAACAAGGTAATGCTCCGTATTACCCTGACAGTCCCCAGAGGAGCCACCTGCTTACGCCGGTGGCCAGAGTCAGGAGACAACACAGTCTGGCCCAAGGCTCCCCTTCCCACAGACCTGCTTCCCTGGGCCAGGTGAAAGCTTTAACCCTAGATAGCAAGCGACAGACCTTTGGTAGGCCTGGGCACTCCACCGTGTAATTAACACTCTGCTGCTTTCCTCTAGCCAAAGAATTTCTTCCTTTGCACTTGCTTAGCTGGTTTTTTTTAAACACAGATCTCTCAGAGGCAGGGACTGGGTTTCTTTCCATGGAGGTGCAGCTCTTAGCGCAATGTGCAGGTAGCTTCTGGGTGCTGAAGCAACAATTTTATAGATATATGTAGACACACGCACGCAACTTGCAGTATGATTGTTCCATAGTCACAATTGCTAATGTTAAAAAAAATAACAAAAAAAAGACCACTGGACTGCTAGGAATACAGAACTGCCTGAAAAACAGGGGAACAAGGGGAGTAAGAATACACTTCTATTTTCCTTTGGCTCCACTGATATATTCTGGGAATCAAATGGAGGTAGCAATGGCCACAAACACACCATCTACAGCCATGGAGAAGTCAGGGAAGCCTGCTTCCCCAGGGTCAGCAATTTGTTTCTGCATTCTTTTGAGCACATCAGCAATCCACTCCATGCACAAAAAAAGTCACAGAAATCACTGCTTCACAACAGAGCAATCCCCTCCAGCCCTATACATACAACTTGCCCAAACCAAAGCAACCAGCTACTGACCCCTACATGGTTTCTTCTAAGTGGCAACTAGGCCACAATTCCCATACAACCTCTCCTGCCTGTCCGTGGACCCTGCTGCTGTAAGGCAGGCTGCCCACGGGGCCCAAATGAGGAAGAACACGAGCCTACATTGGAATCTGTCCTGTCTCCCATGCTTCTGGGCCAGCTCTAAAACAGCTGGCCAGCTTCTGCAATTTAAGATGGCCATGCCATGCTAGCCCCACGTGCTGATCACCCTTATTAAAGACTTTCCCTAAATTAAGCTGACAAAACAAGTTCATTGCTGCTCCTCCTTGCAGTCATCAGCAGCTCCATGTCACTCATCCCAACACTGTATCACCCTAAGGTCTACGCATGAAGTTAGCGAGAGGACTTTTTGGTGTACGTTCAGACTTGGCACATTAATTAACGTAAACATTTTTGGGTGAGACTTCAGCCCTCTTGCCTGATGCCAAGAATGAAACGATGTGGCTAAAGGAATGGGTCTGCATGACAGGAGGTGGAGAGCTGGGCCATTGGGGTGAAACGATTCCCAGGTAACGTACACAGGGACTCACAACTTACCCCGCTACGGGGCGATTTGCACACGTGCGAACAGGGAACGGTTCACCCCTTGGTCCTCGCTGCAGCAGAGCTCTGCTCTCCTTCCTTTCCCACCTCATGAGGAAACTTTGATTCCTCTGTCTGCTCCTGTATCTCCTAAGCCAAGGCATTGTGCTGGAGTAGGGGCGTTTATGAGACAAGATGATTGCATTTTGTGGGGCTAGAAGACTGCTCCTGCAGCTGTAAACTCAAAACACTCAAGCAATCCAGGGATCTGACGGGTAAGACCTTTGTTGAAATCTGTCCAGCTGAGACACAGTCCATTTAAATATGAAGATGTTATCTCAGTAGAGGGGTATTTGATACCGGTCCCCTAGCTAACTGATTTTTTCACTCAAGTACCTCAAGGCGCTGGATGGTTGGACCAGGGAGCGGGGAACGCAGCGGCACAGGTCACCAGGTTGCTCCTCTTGCTATAGCTCTTCAAAGAAACACCCCACGGAAAGCACCTGCACAGGCGGCAACGCCAGTGCTTGGTAGAGTTGTGTCCGTTGCCTTAACTCTGGGGCGGCAAATTCACGCCTGGTTTCGAAGCTGACGGGCAACAGAGGCTGTAAGAATTTTTTTTTTTTTTTCCTTTGAAAACGTGAATCAGCCGCTGGCATTCAAGCAGGTGGCGAAAAACTCAACCCCACGCAGCGAGGCCTGGGAAGAGGGCGATTAAAAAAGCCCTCATCTGCCCGCCCCTCGCCGTGTTTGCTCTGCCGGCTCCCCTGCCC